TAAAATACAAAAAAACCCCAAAACCTTAAAAAATCCACCAAAAAATACCCAAAGGTTTTCCAAAGCATAAAAAACCCCACCAAAAATACAAAAAAAATTGCCAAAACAAATAAACAAAAATATTTTTAAAACAAAAATTAAAATAAAAAAGTTATTACAATCGTTTTTAAAACAAAATATATCGAAATAAACACCCCCCAAAAAAAAATTTAAAAAAATTTATACACAAAAATATTAAATAAACCCAAAATGGTACTTTAAAAAAAAACAAATAATTCAAAATAAATCCAAATAAACCCCCCAAAAGTCCCCAAATCCCCAGTAGAACCCTGATCACCCCCACCCCCGCTTTCGGCCGGAGCCTCAAAGGGTCCCTTTGTGCAGCTCCACCTTTCCCAAAAAATCGCCTTTTCATCCCAAAAAGGGGGAGGAGGGAAAGGAGGAGGAGGAGGAAGAGGCCACGCACAGGGGAAGGCTTTGACCTCATCCCACAAAAATTCCCACTTTTCCCCCCCATTTTGGGCCCCTTCCCACCTTTCCAGGGGGCAAAAGGGACAAAAGGGGGTCTGTGTGACCAAACCCCCCAAAAATGGGGCATGAAAGGGGATTTTGGGGATTTTACCCACTGGGGAAAGGAGGTGAGGGAGAAAKCCTAAATGGAAAAAGAAGGGKTTTAGRGCAGGATTTGGGATTTTGGGGGATTTATGAAAACTAAAAGTGGATTTGGGGTTATCAAAATGAAATTTTTGGGGATAATTCACCCTAAAATTGTGTTATTTGTGGGTTTTGGGTCTTCAAACATMAATTTTTCACATGAATTTACACCAAAATTGGGAATTATTGGGGTTTTGCCTCCCCTAAAAATCAATYTGGGGCTCAAACCCCATTTTGGAGCTCCTTTATTTTTATATTCTTAAAAACTATTTTTAATTAATTTTTATGGAATAATTAAAAATAAGGAATGAAACAGCTCATCTGAAATGAMGAAAACCCCAAAAAGTATCTTTTCTTTATGGGCAGTGACACCAAAAAGGGACAAAGCTTGTTTTTCTGCTCTCTGATCCCAAAAGGGCCTCAGGAAATATTTGGGGCCAGATCTGAGGTTATTGAGATTTGCCAGAGGGGAAAAATGGAATTTTGGGGGTTCTGAGGCTGAAAAAAGCCCTTTTGGAGAGAAAATAAAA